GATGCGCGGCAGGGTAAATGCCGAAAAGAACAAATTATAATTTAGCAATACTAGTCTCTAAACCATCAGACCATCGTGAATAGATTAAAATATACCGAATCTCATCCATGAAAATGTCCTCGATCTTCATGTCACTCAACGTTGAAAGAACTGGATAAATGGTGCAAAAGAACGAAGCTTCAAGTGCACAAATTCTAAATTTTTCAGTTACATTCTCCAATTATCTATCGTGAACCATGGCTTAAACTATGATGGGCTTAGTGAATTTCCTCTCTGATTAAAAACATGTATTGTTCCTGTATTTTTTCAACCGTTGAGCTTTACAACTCAACTCAGTAAAAAAATTTTTTACTCCAACACTATAATTTTCTGGAATGCAAATATCAAAATTTCGTTTTCCAGACACCCGGACATCCTGGGTCATATGCTTCGTGATGCAACTCAGCCACGGAATAGTCTGTGATGAGGTGTCTATAGGCAGGAAAACTTCTGGCAATGCCCAATGCGTTTATTCTGGAGTGATGGCTCAAAAATTTTGTATACTTAATGATAGCAGCTCAAAAAATGAGCGTTCTCGTGATACAATCCCTGAAGTTCATCAAGAAACGTGGACAAACACGAAAAGTTCCCATTCCTGGAGATTGCTCATTAATTTGAGATTAAGTTTCGCTTTTTGATGTGCGGGTAGCGGTCATTTCAGGGGAAGTTTTGAGACTTTCAGGCATAAATTTTTCCCCTGGGAGCCAAATGACATTGTTTCTACCAATCAATTTTTCAGTATTACTTCAAGATTCAGTTAATTAAGACAGGCTCCATTAAACTATAGCCGTGCAGAAAACTTCTCATTATTATAATCAGATATTTTCACTCGAAGGAAGATAAGATGAAAAAATTTTCCTTCCAAAAAACGAGTTCAACATTACCTTCGGAGCTGTAAAAACAATCTTTCGCAATTTACCAGACGCAATTACCCAGTGAAAATTTACAGACGCGGCAGCTTCTGCTTTGGATTACCAGAAGCTGGGGCGGCTCTAAATTTTGTCAGGGTATCTACCAATTCAATTATTCATAGTCCAACCTAAAACCATCGCTGAATTTCTAAGCTGCAACAAAATTCCAAGTTTACACGAAAACAGAAAAATCGAATGCCAACTCGTTTTCCTCTGCCAGCGCCGCAATTGACCTCTGCCAGCGCCTCTGCTTTCCTCTGCCAGCGCCGCAATTACTGTACAATTGACCACATTCACGAACTTTTTTCTTGTGAACAGCAAACCAAGGAGGGATTGTGGCCGGCAGAGCTCAACAGCGACGTCTTCAACTCTCGGACTGAAAATAACCAAGAGGCAAAGTTATCCAAAAACGCCGTTATTAAATATTTGACAGGGAACTTTGACGCTGAGATACAGTTACTGAATTTTTGAGCGGCTTGGTGGTCCTTAAAGAATCTTCGACGACTTTGTTGGGTGAAATATTTACTGGGAAAAGACGTTTTATGGGGTGAACCATTTATTGGGAACTGATGTTTTATGGGGTGAAACATTTATTTGGTAAGAATTTATAAAGGTAAACCATTTATTGGTACAAGATGTTTTATGAGGTAAATCATTATTGGGATAAGACTTTTTATGGGCTGGCCCGTTTACTGGGACTATGAGTTTTACGGCGCCAACCATTAATTGAGCAAGATATGTTATGTTAATTGTGACTCATTTATTGGGACAAGACGTTTTCTGGGATGAACCATATATTGTGCAAGACTTTATGAGGGCGAACTATTTATTGGGACGATACTTTTAAAAGAATGAATACCTGATCACTAGGAGGTTCATTCAAAGACTCCTATATAGCTGCAAGAGACGTGAAAAATGGGGATTCCTAAAACAAGAAGATAAATGTAGACGAAATTATTGACTCCATTTAACAACGAGGAAAAAATTATTTCCATGTTATGATGTCTGACACAAAATAAATGAGCTTCTGCTGGCTCAACGTTGCATTTAATTCCTCATCCAGGCCTTTATCATCGGCAGAAAAAAGTAGATTTGATTTGTTCACTGTGCTGTGTGATGAGAGGAGTCCGATATAACTACGGCGATAAAGCATAGGTTTACTCCACGGTATTATAAAATGGGAATCAATTTGTTATTTTAGGTCATGTAATGCCCTCATGCTTCATAGAAATCTTGTAATTATTTTTTGAATTTGGATGAGCGTAATTCATTTGTATGCTGCTACAAAACGAATGTTTTAATTGCAAGAGAACAAATTTTTCTCAGCTATGTGATATAAGGCAGCCTTTGCATTCAAGCCGAGGAAGTCGAATTCATTCAAAGTTCCGGGAGCAGAATATCGTTGAGATGTAGTCAGTCCTCCTACTTACACGTTCTTATTTGAGATTGAAACCTATAACGCTTTCGGCACGGTTCCTTGAAAAATGTAATTTCAATTCTCGACAGATTGTGCTGACAGTCATCATATATATAAGTAGGAGTATGAATTATGTGTTTTATTTGAAAATTAAGCGCCGGCGTTTAGCGTTTTTTTCCGTAAATCAGATAAAATTCATTATAAGTGGTTAAAACAAAGGAATCAAATAACAAATCATACGCTAAGTACTGTAACCTGACTCACTCTGTTGGGGACTATTCAATAAATAAGCATTCTAACCCCAAACACTTGGCCAATGATCGCAAATAATATGGATGAATAAAAACTGGTAAATAAAGAACTATAATAATAAATGAAAGATAAATACAAGAAAACAAATTACAAAACTATAAACCGCGTGTCTCTCTAGCCCTTGCCCAGTAATTCCTAATCACGTCCTAAGTTCGGAGCCCCGCTGAAAAAACACAAATAAATACAAATTATGGACTTGAATTAACGCAACACATAACAAATGAATATAGCACACATAAATAATAAACTAATATAAATAACAATATTCAGTATCACCAATAAAGGCCACCACTATATCAACACTGAAGATTAACACGATAAACAATATGCCAGCACTAACCTCTGTGGTGGATCACACAGCAATGACAGGATACAAGACAAGAGGTCACGTAATATTCAACTTAAAAACAAAATGACAAAACCCGTAGCCTAACTATCTATGAAATTATTACATTGAAAAGCTATCCCTAACAACTCGACATAAACTTGATTCAATCGCCGGTCATTAATCAGAACCTACATAGTGTAGTCAACATTACAGGCACATAGGCGCGACCCTGCAGCCGACAACGGCGAGGGAGCAATAATTGTAGCGCCGGTCGTTGTATAGCAAGCATTGTAGCACCGGTCGTTGTACAGCAAGCATTGTAGCACCGGTCGTTGTACAGCAAGCATTGTAGCGCCGGTCGTTGTACAGCAAGCATTGTAGCGCCGGTCGTTGTATAGCAAGCATTGTAGCGCCGGTCGTTGTATAGCAAGCATTGTAGCGCCGGTCGTTGTAAAGCAAGCATTGTAGNGGTTTCCGGTCTGGTGGAATAAGGCCATTGATAGTCTAAGATAAGAGTATTTAACAGCTTAATATCGGTGGACTGCATTGCATAGGTACGGTTTTAGCGTAAAATTAGGCCGTCTAATTAGGATCAATAGATTGATTATAATCCTGACCCTGACACCTTGCACACCTGACCCTGTGACCCTCCGCTCCTGACCCAATGATGTTCACATATGTTCATATGATGTCGATAGTCTGTCTCTTATACACATCTAGATGTGTATAAGAGACAGGCATTGTAGCGCTCATCTTTGCGAGGTTTTTTCACCGGCATCCACTTGTCGAAAAAGACTCGTTAAAGTCTAGTCATCTTTTCCTTTGAACTTAATGATCCCGGCTTTCCTTTCCAAGCTCAGGTAATTTATGGGACCTACATTTGGAGTGCACGTATCACTTTGATTTAGGATCTGAAGATACAGGGTGGAGCGATTTAATTTGCTTATTTGCACTGCATGCTGTGGCGGCACTGGCGGTCGAAGACAGACGAGAGTGGCCATGGCTTACAGTGGGTGGCGGGAAATTTGTATTCGTCTGGCTCTCAGTTGCCATCATGCAGTGGACACGTGAGGAGAGGTCATTTTGTGTAGAAGCGTATTTTTCAAATGCCTACTCGATCATTGCAGTGCAGCGTGCTTTTCGTTCACGATTCGCTGTTCCTTCACGCGGACGTGTTCCTGGACGGCAATCAATTGTAAATTGGGTGAATGCATTCAGCACAGCAGAGACTGTGTCATGTCTACAAAGGGGACCTGAGAGAAGGATTACAACACCACGAAACATCGAGAGAGTTAGAGCAGCAGTACTGCAGTCTCCGAAACGCTCTGCTCGGAAGCAATCATTTGCTCTTGGCATTTGTCCATGTCTTGGCATTTGTCTATTTGTCTATTATACAGGATTATTTTCAGCCAGCTCTTGAGGCAATGGAATTAGAGGATACATGGTTCCAACAGGATGGTACCACCGCACACACAGCAAGGGTGACCATGAATTGTTTGAGGCAAATGTTTCCTGGACGGCTTATTTCTTTGAGGGGTGATGTGACCTGGCCAGCACGCTCACCAGATTTAGCCCCATGCAATTTTTTTCTTGGGGGTTACCTGGAGTCTGAGGTGTATATCAACCGCTCCAACACCTTGGAAAACCTTAGGAACAATATTGAAGCTGAAATTGGCAGAATACCAGTAGGCATGCTTGTAAGAGTTCATGAAAACTTCAGAAAACGTATGCAGCAGTGTGTGGAATGCGAAGGTTGACATTTGCCAGATACACTATTTAAAACCATGCAATTTATAAATTCCATTGCCGTTCAGTATAATTCAAATATCAAATAAATTTTTCTAGTGATCATAATTTTTTTATTTCATTCCCAAATCAGCAAATTACCGCGCGCCACCCTGTACTTAACAGTGCTCCTGAACCGACTGATGATTTTCTTACTCATCCTTACTAGCTTAATCATGTTAAAAAGTCGTGCATAATGAAGACAAAGTTGTTGGTTGAAATTTATTCATACAAAATAATGGATGGAACCGTGGTCACACTTGACCGATGTCCGCTGCCACGCGCTATAGCTTGTCCTACCCAGCCTCCTTAGATCTTCGACTGTACGAAACGAAGAGAAGCAATTGTTTAGGAAATTTCAGATGACCTAAAATTTCAGTGAATTAAAATTAAATTCGTCAAAATTAAGCGCAATAATCTTATTTTTTCATTATTTTGTATTTTTCACAAGTGTATTTGATTAACCTTCGAATTTGCTTTCAGGTGCCACGCGTGTTGCTTGGAAAATGTGCCGAACGGGCACGAATACAAAATTATTATATGCAAGATATTATCAGGAAAATTAAAATGGAAGTTATATTTCTTCCCAACCAACAAAAAATAAAGGTCACCTCAAGACGAAAGGACAAACCCTGTCGATGTCACAAGATTGAATTCCAATAAAAATTATTTTTTTTTGGCCCAAACATAAAAAATTTAGTTCAAGTCCTGGCTTACCTGAGCATATATGACTGACGCACCGTCGTTCTTTTTGTTACTTACTCTAAAGATTTTATTTCCTAGAAGAAGCTAATATTTCTTATTTCAAAACCAAAAATTAAATTGCACTTGCTCATGAATCCATTATGAAGGTTCACCTGAGCATTGATTTCCTAGGCTCCGTCGTAATTTTTCTCTATTTATTCAAAAGCTTCAGCTTAAAGAAGAGACCAATATTTTTCATCCTTAACCAAAAGTTAAGTTACACATGTTCATTATCTCCATAATTAAGGCTGACCTGGGCATGGATGGCCAAGACGCCATCATCCTCGGAAGTGAGGATCTCAATGTAAGCCGTGCCGTCACTGCCGACCGTGACGCTCTTGCCGGTACACGAGCCTCCAGATACGTTGCCAGAGATCACGTCACAATACGTGCCCGCAGGCAGGCAAGTCTGGCAACGATGTTAGTCGATCTTATTATATATGAGAACAGTAATAAATTTAAATGGAATTTTTTCACCGGGGCTATATTCATATTCATAACATATTTATTAATTTTTATACGTGGAGATAATATTTTCCAGATCAATTTTTGATTAGTCTAAATTCATATAGTCAATTTTATTTATAATATATCTGTGTAATATTTCAAATTATTTGTCTGTTATTAATAACGATGGAAATTTTGAAGCATCCATTAGATGAATGAAATTTGGTATAAATTTATTTTATTTCCATTCCATACAAATTATCAATAAATGCTTATCTCTGTTTGGTCAAAGTATTTCCTAGTTAAAGAAATATTGATCGGGCATAATAATCATGTGAGCCATTTTCCTTCAATAACTTTTATCAACACAGGGCGTAACTTTAGCAGCTATAAACGCAAAAATATTACCGGACGGTTTTGTTACATGGAATGACTCGTTACATGAACTAAATTGACTGTTTATATAGAATTATAAAAAATTATTTTTTATTTTAAGAACAATTTTAAGAAATCAATTCTATTTCACAGTTAACACGCAATATGGGTAAAGTTCCAGTTCCATGACCCTGTCAGTAATCATAACGCCGGGCAGCTTGGAATTACCAGCTAAAGAGATTAATCACCTGGAGAGTCTGCTTGAGGTCATAGCTCTCGTTGTTGATGGCCAAGAAGCCTTTGTTGCCACGGCAGAAAGCTATTTGGTTGTTGCCGTTGTCCCACCAATCGTTCGAGTCAGTCCCTAAAAACATATTTCCGAATACATTACAAATTTTTTCATCCATTAATAAAGCGCTGCAGAAATAATTGCCCGAATTATAAACATGAGGAAAATATACCAAAAAATTAGAGAGTTGTGCTTTTTCGCAGTGGATCTTCATCTGCAGAAAATCTCTGCTTCGGTTCTTGATAATGAAGGTTGTGCAGATTTGGTATATTTGGACACATTCAGTGCTCCGATTTTTCTTGTTGACGAGTCATTAACCCAAGAGGCTTTCATATTAACTCGAACTTTGTTGGGGGACTATCTCTTATCAAACTCGCGTCTCCCCGACACATAGCACGTGATCGTTCTGCAAGACTTTAATTGACTTCTTAAGACCAAGGATTCGCGTACGTTCATGGACATCATAGGCCAAGAGAACTGCCTTGTGGGAGACTGTAGGTGGCAGCACTTCAACAATGACGTGCACGCGCTGCGTTGATCAGCGTCGCAATTCAAGCTCGGCGGTTCATATATTCTCTTAAACGCAAATTTAAAGGGAAAATGGTTAATAATTTATTTCGTGTTATAATCGATATTTTGAGATATGAAATAATGATTACGAAAAATCTTTTCTGAAAAAATTGAATATAAATAATTCAGTTGAAGGTGAATGTTTGCTCAAATTGAACGATAACATGAAAGATATAATTTTTGTTAGAAGGTTTGGCTAGGTTAGATTTAGTCAGAACACATTTTTAGCGCATTTTCTCATTTATGAAAAAATGTGCTATTGTGCCCGTCATGTAGGTCCGTCTGTTGACGGGCACAACCGCGGACATTTCAATCGCTCGGTCATGAAGAAGTATTTGATGTTCAAATAGTTGTTAAGACAAAGCCTATATCCCTTTGCTAAAATCATTGAATAACTCGGCCAAACTAACTTCGTGTGGTCGAAGGTTTATGCCGGCGATTGCGCTCCACTGGCGACTCAGCCAATTATACCATAGCGATAACTTGGTGAATGATATTTCTTATGGCAGTGCTTCTCAGTGCTTCGAAATTATTTAAAATTTTCTTTCTACAAACTTATCGCGCATTAATAATTCTTAAACCACCTTCAATTGTTGTTATTGAACGGAGGTAGCTTTAATAATGCATTTCAGATGATATATTATCGCAAAACAATATATTATATAAAATGACAGATGCGTCTTATGAGGGAAGAAAGTTTCTGATTTATATATTTTAACATTTCAATTGGCATTCAACTTTGGCATCCGTCTTCGACGAAAAAATGCGCTCTCTGTGACTCACTGCACTGAGTACTGAGTTACATTTTTTCAGTTACCTCTAAATTTTTAAAGCTTATTTTCCAAATTTAAGTCTGTTAGTTACGAGATTTTTCTTCTTTGAAATCAAACTTAATTGTCAACTTGCTGCTCAAAAATTATTGAATTGTCGTAATATTTCTCCATAAATGCTCACATAAATTTTACAGGATTTCAATACTTATTCGCAGTGCATAAATAACTTGAAATTTTACGCGCGTTTTAGCGAGTTAGGGCGAAACAAAAATGGTAATATGCTTTGGTATTAGTGCAAAGTATTGCACAACATCCTTATGCTGTGGACCATCTATTATACTGACACTATTTTGTAGAATTCCATTGCGACTTTCCTCGAAGAGTTTTATCAAACCGAATGGTAACGACTCAGATCTATGATAAGGTTGTTCAACTTTTACCTGATCTATTTCTTATAAACCCTGTCGATGTCACAAGATTGAATTTCCAATAAAAATTATTTTTTTTTTGGCCCAAACATAAAAAATTTAGTTCGAGTCCTGGCTTACCTGAGCATATATGACTGACGCACCGTCGTTCTTTTTGTTACTTACTCTAAAGATTTTATTTCCTAGAAGAAGCTAATATTTCTTATCTCAAAACCAAACATTAAATTGCACTTGCTCATGAATCCGTTATGAAGGTTCACCTGAGCATTGATTTCCTAGGCTCAGTCGTCATTTTTCTCTATTTATTCAAAAGGTTCAGCTTAAAGAAGAGACCAATATTTTTCATCCTTAACCAAAAGTTAAGTGACACATGTTCATTTTCTCCCTAATTAAGGCTGACCTGGGCATGGATGGCCAAGACGCCATCATCCTCGGAAGTGAGGATCTCAATGTAAGCCGTGCCGTCACTGCCGACCGTGACGCTCTTGCCGGTACACGAGCCTCCAGATACGTTGCCAGAGATGACGTCACAATACGTGCCCTCAGGCAGGCAAGTCTGGCAACGATGTTAGTCGATCTTATTATATATGAGAACAGTTATAAATTTAAATGGATTTTTTTCACCGGGGCTATATTCATATTCATAACATATTTATTAATTTTTATACGTGGAGATAATATTTTCCAGATCAATTTTTGATTAGTCTAAATTCATATAGTCAATTTTATTTATAATATATCTGTGTAATATTTCAAATTATTTGTCTGTTATTAATAACGATGGAAATTTTGAAGCATCCATTAGATGAATGAAATTTGGTATAAATTTATTTTATTTCCATTCCATACAAATTATCAATAAATGCTTATCTCTGTTTGGTCAAAGTATTTCCTAGTTAAAGAAATATTGGTCGGGCATAATAATCATGTGAGCCATTTTCCTTCAATAACTTTTATCAACACAGGGCGTAACTTTAGCTGCTATAAACGCAAAAATATTACCGGACGGTTTTGTTACATGGAATGACTCGTTTCATGAACTAAATTGACTGTCTATCTAAATTATAAAAAAATATTTGTTATTTTAAGAACAATTTTAAGAAATCAATTCTATTTCACAGTTAACACGCAATATGGGTAAAGTTCCAGTTCCATGACCCTGTCAGTAATCATAACGCCGGGCAGCTTGGAATTACCAGCTAAAGAGATTAATCACCTGGAGAGTCTGCTTGAGGTCATAGCTCTCGTTGTTGATGGCCAAGAAGCCTTTGTTGCCACGGCAGAAAGCTATTTGGTTGTTGCCGTTGTCCCACCAATCGTTCGAGTCAGTCCCTAAAAACATATTTCCGAATACATTACAAATTTTTTCATCCATTAATAAAGCGCTGCAGAAATAATTGCCCGAATTATAAACATGAGGAAAATATACCAAAAAATTAGAGAGTTGTGCTTTTTCGCAGTGGATCTTCATCTGCAGAAAATCTCTGCTTCGGTTCTTGATAATGAAGGTTGTGCAGATTTGGTATATTTGGACACATTCAGTGCTCCGATTTTTCTTGTTGACGAGTCATTAACCCAAGAGGCTTTCATATTAACTCGAACTTGACCATGTTGGTATCTAGATATTCACCGTGGGTGACTTTCCTTAACTAGATCATGTTGGTAGCTACTTTTTCCTGAACATGACCATGTTGGTAGCCACTCACCGTGGACGACTTTCCTGAACATGACCATGTTGTAGATCTGCCGCCAGCGATGCTCGCAAACCCAGTCGCCTTGGCAGGCGCCGTCGGCCCCAAACGTGGGAGAGATGATGTTGTAGTTGCTGTCGTGGGGCGGGCCGATCCAGTCGTTGTTGTCGTGGCCGTTCTGGATGTCCTGGGGCCAGTTGTAGGATGACATGATCCTCGTGTAGCCGTAGGGCCAGCCAAGGGTGAAAGCAGTGGCCATCTTGCGGAAAATAAATTTCATTCGAATTATTGTCAATCGATTACGTTTCATCCAAGCTCTCTATCAGGCCACCGGTGTTAAGAGAGATAGCAATTTGATTTTTCTCTTTACGAATTTGAACACACACGATTGAAAAACAGTTTAGCATTAGAGAGAAGATGGTCAGGAATTACATGGTCATGTCGAAAATGATTTATAATAAAGTCAAGATAACAATTTTCCCAAAATTATCGAATTTTAATAACTTTGACTGAATTGCATCCCTTGACCTTCAGCAACACATGTTAAAAGAAAAAATTAAAATTGAATACTCAAATGAAATTAACTAACGAGTATGAACCGATGTATTCACTTTAATCTGAATACTGAATAGTTATCTGAAAGTTACCTTGTACCATCTGGGAGTGCGGAAAGTGAGAATTTGGTCGCCGCCGCCACCATTTCCTCTCTGGTTGTCGTGGTTGTCCACAAAGACCAGGGAATATGCCCGGGGCAGGAAGCCCCAGCCCTCGCCGAAGTTACTGAGGTACGTGAGCTTGTTGTTGCCACGGAACGCAGAGCCGAGGCTCAGGCCGTACTTGAACTCTGTCACGCGGCCGAGGCCGGTGTACTGAGAGGCTGTCACTGGCTCGCCGCCTGGACACAATATATACGTATACCATATAATACATCTATTGAACTTCAGTTCATGTAGAATGATGATTCACGGAAAATGAATGTGGATATTTATGAATGATTCAAGAGATGATTCAACTTAAATTAATGGTATCACTTCCAACATTGAAACAACTATAGAAATGGAAACACCTCGCGAATTGTTCGGTATATCGTAAATTTTTGTTTATAAGAAGTCAGTAATAATGACTGCCTTCATTAATTGTTTTACATGAGCAGGAGATCATCAATTTCAAGAACCAGAGTAGAGTGAAGGTGACACACCTTGGTCGATGACCTCCTGGAAGATCGTGGGTCGTGATCCAGCTGGGAAGTAATCCGTGTTGAGGTTGTTGAGGCCGTTGAAGATCACGTCCAGATCCCCAGGCCACATGTGCTTGCAAGCGTCCACTCGGAAGCCAGCCACTCCGATATCGATGAGGTGGTTGAGGTAGCCCATGATCATGCCTCTCACATATTCCGAACCTTGGTTCAGGTCGTTCATACCTGACAGCTTGCAGTTCCTAACCTATAATTGTATATACTGAACGTTAACGAACGTAATAATACTTGAGCTGACCGTGAATAATCGTGAAATTATATAAACTGAACGTGAGTGAACACGATGAACTTTCGTGAACCCCTCTGAATTCAATCTCTCAGTTGAGGTTCACATCGAAAATACATAATTTTCGATGTCTAATCACGTTGGGATGAATTTATAGGTTGAGTTCACAGTATTTAATTTGAAGTATCATTTCTATACCTGGTTGGCATCCTGGTAGCTTTCAATGCTGCCAGAGCCGCTGTTGCAGTTGCCGTCATTGAAGTCGAAGCCCGAGTACGGCACGCCAGGGTAATTCTCCGACCCTGAGTCGAAGCTGCTGCCACCAACGCCTGGGGTGCCAGAGGGCCAACTACCCGTCATATGGTTGAACACTGCGTCCGGATATATTCTAGCAACAAATCAGTTTTTATGATTCTGAGAATTCATTTTTATGGTGAGTGTTCATTGTTTCAGCTCATTCAAGCTCTGATAATTGAATGCAAAACTTCCAGTGTGTTACATGGCATTAAATTATTGTTTCAAATTTTTGTCAGATTCTAAAACAAATTCCATTCCCTGACGCGGGACACTGACAAGAAAATTGTTTCCAAGGAGACAAGTCCCAAACATGAACTTATCTCATTTACCTGACGCCAACAGCATTGCATCGCTGGACCATGTCTTTGAAGGCGTTTTCGTCACCAGATCTGGAGACAATTTTGTAGGAGACAGGCTGGTAGCGCTCCCACCACGGCCTCTTAATAACATCCTGCATTGCTACTATATACTCGTTGGGTGGAGACGTCTGATGAGATAGAGAAACCGGAATAGATGAAACATTTTTGCCTCTATGAAACAGATTATATTCTTTCGGAAAATTTCGAATGATTCTGCTGATTTTACGTTTAATAGCAATAGTGTTAACTGAGCATCCACGAGAGTGGGTTGTGTGGTGCCTAAGAGCTCTTCGATTGCTTGTTGTTTGCTTTGTAGCCTTGCGCGTACGTAGCCCCCCATTCTCTCTTCTCGTTCTTGCTGACGCAGCGATTTTATTATTGACACGTCTTTCTACTGAGTGTGCTCGTTATTCTTTTGCGGCGTGCCACTTGCTTGACTAGTTGCACGTAGTATTCGATATAGTATAAGCGTAATTGTGATTGTAGCCACAGCAGCCGTTCCGTCTTGGTTTTCGCCTAACCTCGTGGAAACGGCCGAGGGATGGAGGGGAGAGGACGCTGGTGCCTGAGTTGCTCGACTGTTAACAACAGGAAGAGGACAGTTAATTGTTCTTCGTGTGAGGGATGTTACCATCTCTCATGCGTAGGGCTGACTAGAGCACAGGCAGACGCCTTCGGGCGTTGGCTGTGCCCAGGTTGCTTGGGTTGAGCCAGTGTCGGTATAACAGAAAGACCCGTAGATTTTGACTTCTTGGGGTATGTTTCTCGGTGTTGTGCCAATGGTAGAGCACTGAAATAAAAAAAGTTTAATAGCAATTCGCCTACTGAAATATTTCAAATTGTAGTTTTTGTTAACTGAGAAACTTCCATTTTTGGTTTGCTATAATTAATTAAGTATCTAAATAGACATTTTTACACAAAGTTTGAAGAGCCTACGCGATTTAGTGTAGTCCCTCCTTGAAACCGGCTACTGGAGCTCTCACCTGAACACCTGCGAAGCCTTTAGGCCCGAGGAAGTTTTCGCACTCCGCGGCAATGTCCGCCCACTTCCACTCGAAGAGATGTACAATCACCTGCAGTAATTTATTATCATGTTTAAGCTAAAAATAATTCTTTTGTTATAATATAGATATGATATCAGTCGAGAGTGATATCAGCTGGTGATGAATCGTTCCGAAATGAGCCTCTGGAATCGTAATAATTTATTAACTACATTAGTAATTGGATTTTTCTTGCAATCTAAAAGACTATTTTTTACCATTGAATCATTTTTAATTGTGTTTTAGCTATTTTTAGGTGTTGAAAATAATTATGGAATCATAATGCAAATAATTACGGAATAATGAAGTGCATTATTTTTAAATGTAATTAAATACCTTAGTTTCAGTTCTATACTGCCATTTAGTTAATGTTAAGGAGCACAATATGCGTGATAAAAGGAATTTACCTCTCCGTTGTCAGAGTTAGAGTCCCACTGAGCGTTGGCTGCGGCGACACAGAGCAGCAGCAGCGCTGCCGTCATTGACAGGCCTTTCATCTTCATCAACACCGTTCCTTGAAATAAAATTAAGTACTTTAATATACAGTTAGAATAATTAATATCAATAATAATGCTAATAATAATTATAGTAACAAAACATGATAATAATTACATTAATTATATTATTATTAATAATAATAATACTTGACCTATATGCTTCATTGTTCAAAATTCATCAAGATTAATCTTTACCGTCGAAAATCGAGACAATTCGTATTCTTGCCTCCAATTAAGTCTTGTCATGAGGCTATTTTTGCAATGATATATCTAATTGAAGAGTCCAATTGAAAATTATTGATTAATGGTTGAAGTAAAAGATCAGATTTCAGCGGCGAATTACGGTATACGGTAAATATTATCAATCAGTTGATGATTTACGCTAGCAATATCTTATATTAAAATCCCAAACAAATTAGTAAGAGAAACTTACGCTAATATCTCCTCTATGCTCGAAGATAGTTAATGATATACTGTCCCACAAGAGTGCGCATTTATAGCTGAAAAATTGTGTTATCGCACCAACAGATGTTGATAGTCATGCGAAAACAAGTAGCAGAAATCTAGAAAATCCCAGGTGAAAAAAGTGCTTGATGTCATCTTCGATATCCAAGGTAATTATAATTGCGCATTAGTCGTATTCTCTTGATTGTTACATAGCCGCCAGTCAATTTTTCTGATTCGATTTTGTCTTTGAAATGATTCGTCTGGTGAAGGGGCTAGTAATATTATTTATTCACAATGATATTAAAGATATTTTTTAAAGATACAATTATATTTTGAATACAATAATACGCTAGGGTATAATTTGCTTCAGTATGGTACGAAGTTCATTGTAAATATCTCGGAGGGAATGGTATAGTTTGTTGGTGTTGCTTTTCGCTGTCGATTGTGATGAATTTTAATAAAGGTATTTTCTTCAAGTGCCTCGTGCAAAGATCGAACCACGGACAATGCACCTTAACTCCACACCAACGCGTCCACCTTTTTAAATAATTGTATAAAATAATAGCAGTATTATTTGTGCTTTAAGAATTGAAAGTGGCAAATTTGACCTATTTCCTATTTCAGGCAGAATATCCATATGCATTCTTAGTCGTTATCGGCAGCTGCCATACAATATAAAATATACAATATTGAAAATGGTCGATAGATCTTAGAATGAATTTCGCTCTACAAATTGGAATAAGAAGTTACATTGAACTAAGATACGTTAATTTAAACAAATCATAACAGAAAAAATCTAATTATTAACATAGAATCATTTAGACAAGCGAAATACATCATACTTCGAGATCTACACCATCTTTTAGCCAAGAATGTTGGCTGTATATAAATCATAATATAATCTATAATGAAATAAACGTCGCTGTTCTTACTCTTATCATCTACTAAACTACGAATTTACCAACGCTTGCATTCAATTTTCAGTTATATTCAAATATTTTGAAGACTGAACCTATCCTAATTTTTGCTCTCCTCCAAGAGTCATTCCGAAGGCCTAAATTATATTTAAAAATCAACTTCACGTCCATCAGCACTTATTTGGAGAACAATTTAAATTCAACTACGGACTCTGATACAATTTTTCTTGTTACCTTAATTTTTTCTTTGCAAAATAAATTTGTCTGGAATTGTTTCTTTAAAGAACAACGTTAAAATTATTGTGCTCGTCGGAAAAAAACGCTACACCATGAGTAACCTCACAACACCAACAACAACAACAACGATACTTTGAATGTTGTCGCTATTCTCTGCTTGTTTTGCTATTAGAGAATTTTAAGCAATACTTTGTTCGAGCTCCAAACCAAGCATCATATTTTCGTTGATGATTTGCAGTGAACGGCTGGGGCGCCCGAATGGAATGCGAGTATTTATGTTTAGCTAGTATTGTATTAAGTTAGATATTGCATTGCAAAGTGATAGCGGTAACTAATGCACTTGTGGATTGTATATTAAAAATAAAAAATTAGCACGCGTATCAAAACATTAGAATGAGAAAATTCGTTTTCCCTTTTCATTCGACGATCATTTCCAGCTTTCCTTCAATGTTCAATACTTTCATGTTCAAACGAAAATTGTGCTGTCATGAGACAAAGTGCGCCCTTGCAAATTTTTCCCATCATTATCGCCTGTTGTCATCAGCGTGAGATCCTCAAACTTGATGTGTCATTTTGATTCCAAACGTAATATAAGTTTCTTTTATATCAGACGAGCTGGTAATAAATGTAGTATAATATATACTGTAGTATATATATATATATATACTATTAATGTAGTATTTATATAAATAAATATACTGCTATTATCTCTTCATTGAATCCAGAATTTATTGCCGAGCAATATTTTGTTTTTAGATTGCAGCATTTTTTCCTCTTGATATACCACACAAAATTAATTGTTATCCGGCAAGGAAGGAATCACGATGTTTTTTAATGATTAATATCCATTAGAGTGTCACACACGTAAACTAAATTTTTCTACCCAGTCGAATTACATCTACACGCGTTCTCTAAATGTTAAACCTAAATATTATTAGTCCTGTTCTTGAAGTAGCTAAGTGTTTTTTCTGAACATCATTGTTACATGTAAGTGGATATTTCCTGATCCTAAGCCAACCATCTTAACTTTGGTGAATTAGAGGACGCTAAAATGCTTGTATGCACTTTCTCGAGGCCGCGTACGTTCATGGACATCATAGGCCAAGAGAACTGCCTTGTGGGAGACTGTAGGTGGCAGCACTTCAACAATGACGTGCACGCGCTGCGTTGAACAGCGTCGCATTTCAAGCTCGGCGGTTCATATATTCTCTTGAACGCAAATTAAAAGGAAAAATGGTTAATAATTTCTTTCGTGTTATAATCGATATTTTGAGATATGAAATAATGATTACGAAAAATCCTTTCTGAAAAAATCGAATATAAATAATTCAGTTGAAGGTGAATGATTGCTCAAATTGAACGATAACATGAAAGATATATAATTTTTGTTAGAAGGTTTGGCTAGGTTAGATTTAGTCAGATCACATTTTTAGCGCATTTTCTCATTTATGAAAAAATGTGCTATTGTGCCCGTCATGTCCGTCCATCTGTTTGTCTGTCCGTGACTTCACGCTATCTTCGACGAAAAAATGCGCTCTCTGTGACTCACTGCAGTGAGTACTGAGTTACATTTTTTTCAGTTACCTCTAAATTTTTAAAGCTTATTTTCCAAATTTAAGTCTGCTAGTTACGTGATTTTTATTTTTTGAAATCAAACTTAATTGTCAACTTGCTGCTCAAAAATTATTGAATTGTTGTAATATTTCTCTTTAAATGCTCACATAAATTTTACAGGATTTCAATACTTATTCGCAGTGCATAAATAACTTGAAATTTTACGCGCGTTTTAGCGAGTTAGGGCAAAACAAAAATGGGAATATGCTTTGGTATTAGTGCAAAGTATTGCAGAACATCCTTATGCTGTGGACCATCTATTATACTGACACTATTTTGTAGAATGCCATTGCGACTTTCCTCGAAGAGTTTTATCAAACCGAATGGTAACGACTCAGATCTATGATAAGGTTGTTCAACTTTTACCTGATCTATTTCTTAAACTCAAATAATCAAGTCAATAATTGACAATTTACAGATTATAATTTTATTTTTATTGCTACAGACAGAAATTTACCAGTTCAAGGTTACCAAATATATAGAGCGGAAAATATTTATAGCCTAGTTGTTCAAATAAAGGCATTACTTTCCATATTCAGATCATAAACATATTCTTCGAAGGATAGGTAGTGGTCGGCCATGGATGGCTTAATGCTAACACTGTTTGTAGGATTGTGTGATGAGTTTCCAATTTTGAATTTTTAAAGTTCATTCTCCCAGTTTCGGTCAGGAAATAATATGAGTTTTCTTTTTATAAATAGAACTTGACTGCCAAGCTGCTCTTCAAACTATTATTGTGTGTCGGTTTGTGAAAACATATTCCATGTGTCACTATCACTTGATATAATTTTGTGCTAGAGTATTTGTGAAATTCTGACAATAAAAATCTTTGTTCTGGATAATCTTCGTGGTGCTATTTATTCGAAATTTAATTGATACATAGATTTTAAAGGCAGTACAAGTTTATTTAACGGCAGCAGGAAAAAATGAGAAATAAAAAAATAGAATAATTTGATGAGGGTCTCAAATAACGAGTGATTGAAATTAATGACTTTGTTTGTCTTTCTTTGGTTTGTTAATTGCTTCGTCGAAATTTTTCAATGCTATGCTCTGAACAAACTGTTTGATTGGGCATAGATAACTTTTACTCGGAGATCAATTTGGTGACTTCATAACAAATCAAAACAATAAGAAAATTAATATATGAAAGAATATAAAATAATGATATTTTAAAGCAGATCTGTTTCAAAATTGAACTAAAATCATATGTGTTGTTTCAGAAAATTACTTGGTCACTAGAAAATTTACATTTTTGCAAATTACGTTGTCAAAAATTCGTGAATGTTTTTTTTTTGTAAGAAATACTAAGAAAAAATTCTGCCTCCATTAAATTTTTATTTCCAGTAGTCGAGATTGTTGTGATCCCCGCTACAGCTTCGCCTGCAAGTAAAAAATCATGATCGTATTAAATGTATTAAAAACATTTTCATGGTTTCATTATGTTAATTTGCCACTATAGATCTAACGATTTTAAGAGCCAATTTTATAATTAAAACATCTTTGCTGCAAATTTTAGAGGGGATAAAATTCAAAGAATTTGAAATTACGGCGGAATTTCTTACATTTTATATAACCAGAAATGACTACAAAATTTGTAAAAGGGAAGTGTTTTTTTTCAAGCGTTCATATAATGATCGTCAACTTCTAAAATCAAGTTAAAAACTGTAAATAATTTTCATAGATACTAATAAAATAAATCAACAGCAAAGGTTATTGAGACTTTTAATGATTAATTTACTATGCTTTTCATAACATAGAGTCAAATACCTCAGCATGCATGGCAAGAACTCCATCATGATCAGAAGTTTTCGGGTCGATGTAGGCCAAGCCGTTGGTTCCGACCGTGACAGTTTTGCCTGTGCAGCTGCCGTTCTCGACGTTGCCAGAGATGACGTCACAATACATGCCTGCAGGCAGGCATGTCTACGACTTGCAACGAGTCATTGTGTCATTCAATTATATATTTTATTATGGAGACAAAATCATATTGCTCGGAGACAAAACTATATAAACTACGTAACATGTAAAAATAAGTATCCACGCTTCGTTGGGCGGGATCATTGGAACACTTTATAATGACCAAAAACTAAACCAAGCCTTTTATAACTTAGAAAAAAATAATTGCAAATAATCCTTATATAATTATTCCTATAATGATACGATGTGGTATTCGTAGAGGTTTTACTAGCATACGAGTCTTTTCTATGGTTAATTTTTTTAATTCCATGTGATGTGAAAGAAAAATTCG